TTTTTTTTTTTTTTTTTTTTTTTTTTTTTTTTTTTTTTTTTTTTTTTTTGTTTTATAATTATAATACAATTAACTTAAAAAGAAAATATCAAATAATTCTTAATAATACATTTAAAATCACACTCAATTTCTAACTTACCATTTTTTAAAAACGAAATTTATTTTTAAAATTTTTAAGGGTATTAGTGTAATTTTAGAAAGATTTTAAACGAATGTTTTAAATAAGATATTAATAGTTGAAAGAAAATTTAAAAAAGTTCATAATATTTTTTTAATTTTTATCCCTAACTAATAATAAATGTATTTTTTAAACGTTCAAATGTATTATTAAAAATTTTAAAAATTTAAAAGTATTTTTTATAATTTAGTTCCATAATGATTATAATATTTTCTATTAATGTAACTTTTTATTAACATCAATAAAATGTTTGCAAATCATGGACTAAAATACAATAAAAATAAAAGTTTTTATTTATTTATTATTATTTATTATTATTATTATTATTATTTAAAGGAATAATAAAGAAAAATCCAAAATGAAACATTCAGAATACAAAAGGGAAAGTTTATTCTAACGCTCATCCCAAAACGACATAAAAACAGCAATCTACCAAATCCTAAATACTCACTTGTCATTCAATCCATGGCTAAATATTAAAATAATATCATTTATTAATTAATACTATTTTATGTTTTTAAAAAAATTAATTAATTTATCTCTAAATTTAAAATTTCACTCATAAAAAAATCTAAAATTAATAATTGTATTATCAATTTACACATAATTCTATCAATTAATTTTAATTTCATAAATTAAACTATTTATAGAAAATTATCTATTATTTGGAATATAATTCTTAAATTAAATTTTTAATTGATAAAAAATATTATATTTTAACTATTTAAATTGAAACAATCCCTTATTTTAGGGTTTACCCTATATTTTCTATAAATTTAAGATTTGTTTGTCTCGTGTGATGTAATGAACCAAAAATGCATGGATAAGGATGAAAAATATTTTTAAAAAATTATTTACTGTGCGCCACTAACATTCTTTTTAATAAATTAAAAAAAGCAACCAATCGTGAAATTGCAATTAACATAGTATACCCGAATTGGTTAACGTAAAGGGAGAATATAAGTAAATCATACGTTGAATTAATAACCTACCATAAAAACGACACCACACCCGATCATAGTTAAGAAATTAAAACGTCTATTATCCGATTCGTAGGTTCAGTCTCTACGTTTTTTTTCGGTCAACAATACGGGAGGACCTCTAACGTATTGGTCGAGAGTGTATATTTTATAGTAGTTGAGTTAGCGAATCTTCAGGGTTGGACCCACAACAGTATTTTTGGTAAAAAACTCAGATACCCGTGTAGATATCATTTTTATTTATTGTATATCATGTCGGCGTCATTTAAAAAACGGGGGTCGATCAAAAAAATAAGGAATTGGTATGATATACTTGGGATAATGGGTATCTTATCTATTGAACTATGATCCGGACGGGAAAATCCAAAACCAGAAACCAGGGAAATATGTGGAATAGGCAGCAGCCAGGCAGGGCTATATTTGGCAAGAGGTATACTAAATGGAGAGACCATTAAATTGCCATATAGAGCATTGAAGTAATCAGTGGAAAGAGAGAGAGAGAGGAAGAAGAGGAGCTGTCGTATCTGAGATGCCAAAAGAACAGAGGACTGATGATGAAGAAAAACAAGAAAAGGAGAGAACAGAGGAGAAGATTTGAATCAAAGGGATAAAAAATGTAAAAAGAAGGAGAGAGAAAGAAGAAAGAGAAAGGTGGGACCCTTTAAAAGAGACCTATAAACACCGAAAACACTCTAAATGTGGCAAAAGGAGTCATGCATAACTCTATATAGTATACAGAGCCATGCAAGGTTGCCGTTTCCAGCCCCTTCTGCCATTTGGGGTAAAACGCTCTCTCACGCTCCTTTATCTTCTCTTCTCTAAATTTGGTAATCTTTTACCCTCTTTCCCAAGTTTATCACAGGCCCCAAAATGGGCAAATATTGAACCTGTAAAAGGGGGAAACAAAAGGGGTTCTCTCTGTTTACAAAATCACGAGATTACGAGAAGGGTTTTTCGTTTCTTGGGGGATTTTGAGGGATTTCGACTCGAAACTGCAATTTTGGGGGTTTTGATCATCTGGGTGTCTCGGATTTGGGGTATTTTCAAATGGGTCGAGGGAAGATTGAGATCAAACGGATTGAGAATGCTAATAGCAGGCAAGTTACATTCTCAAAGCGACGAGCTGGGTTGCTTAAGAAGGCTCAGGAGCTTGCTATTCTTTGTGATGCTGAAGTTGCTGTTATTATCTTCTCTAATACTGGCAAGCTTTTTGAGTTTTCCAGCTCTGGGTTTGTGTTCTTCTTCACTCTCTAATACTTCTTCTTCTTGTTTTGCATATTGCTTTGCTTTGCATGTTGAATGGTTGTCTATGTTCTTGAGATTATTGGAGAACTTGAGCTGAATCTTGTGGGATTTTGGTGTTTTTGTTTGTGCATTGCATGTTCTTTTAGAAGCCTTGTTTATACTCTTCTTCATTGCTTAGTTTTTTGTTCATGTTTTGGATAGTTATGATCTTGAGGGCGCCTTTTTTTGGGTGTTTGTACTGTTCTTGACTCGTTTACAATCTTCATTTTAATGTTCTTTCTTCACCTTGTCGGACATGTCTGTCTCTTATGCTTGTCTGATACTGTTTTGAATCATAATTCCAGCTTCTAAATGCTTCGAGTTTTTCGTTGAATCATAGTTTTTGAAGATTCTATAGGCTTATGTCTTAAAATATTTGATCATGCATACACTTGGAAGGCTTGTTTGAAGGATGTTTTGATTGTAAGACATGTCTTTTGGGGCAAGGACTAGATGTGGTCTTCATGGTCTGGTTTGAATGAACTTGGTCTGAATCTGGTGTCTTGTTGTAAATTTTTTGAATTGACTTGGCTTCTTGATCTTCCTCTTGTCCTCTGTTCTTTTTTGTTCTTTTTTGGTGCTCAACTCTGTTTTGTTCATGTTCTTTTTTGGTGTTTATGAGTCAACAAACAATACTACTCGATATATTTATCGGCCGGTGAAGTTTATCAACATGTATGTCTTCAAAATCATCATGTCGCTGATGTATGTTCACTGTTAGTTGATATTGTCCTCTTTAGGCTTTCCTTCCGGGCTTTCCCTTAAGGTTTTAAAATGCGTCTACTAGGGAGAGGTTTCCACGCCCTTACAAGGAATACTTCCTTCCCCTCCACAACTGAGGTGGGATCTCACAATCTACCTGCATGGGGGCCTAGCGCCCCCGCTGGCACACCATCCGGTGTCTGGCTCTGATACCATTTGTTAGAGCTCAAACTCACCGCTAACAGATATTGCTCTCTTTGTGCTTTCCCTTCTGGGTTTCCCCTCAAGGTTTTTAAAACATGTCTGCTAGGGAGAGGTTTCCACACCCTTATAAAGAATATTTCGTTTTCCTACCCAACCTACGTGGGATCTCACAATCCACCCCCTTTAGGGCCCAGCGTCCTCGCCCTTATGTTTCTTTTCGAAGTAACTAAACCTAATTGAGGTGTTTTTTTGGAGATAAACTAAGACGTGAAATGACAGGTTCTGTCTGTAAATCGTCGTTTTCGCTCTCATTATTATAAGTTTGAACAGGGAGAAGTAAGATAAAGAACCTCCAATATGATGAAGCCTAATCCAATCTATTTTATCATTCTTTGGGCAGCATGAAACATACTCTTTCAAGATACAACAGATGTATAGAATCTTCAGAGACTCCGATAGACGGACACAAGGCTGAGGTACGGAGTGACGATTTTGAGTTCAAACTGCCTGGTTGTTCATTTTTTTCGAATGTTCTCGGGCAATACATTGCATGTTTCTCCTAACAGTATCTTCATCTCCAGAAGCAAGAGCATGAGGAGGTAGACAATCTACGAGATGAAATAACGACTCTGCAAATGAAACAATTGTATACCATCTATCTTCTCTCGACCCGTGATTTCTAAAGCTAAGATACATATTTTTTATACGTAGATTTTGACGTTTTGGCTTCGTAGGCAGCTACTGGGAAAGGATCTAACTGGCTTGGGCTTCAAGGAATTGCAAAACCTAGAGCAACAACTAAATGAAGGGCTCTTACTCGTGAAAGAGAAGAAGGTTTGGGATTAGTGATAGTTTTTAAACATAATTCAGCTTTCAAGCTCTGATAATCCTTATATTTCTTTAGGAACAGTTACTGATGGAACAACTAGAGCAATCAAGGGTACAGGTGACTTAATATACTTCGTGCCTATATTATACAAGGGATGGCCTTAAATTCTTCATGTTTAAGCGGGTTCGGGATAGGTTCGTCCTTGAAAATAGAACCTCGGAGAGAGAACTTCGATCTTCGATCGATAACATATTAAGCCATAGAGATGACAAATGTTTTTGAACGTAGTTTGTCGTTTTGATTCGTGATAACACCTTAAAACATGATAATTCAAGTTCATATTTTTGTTTCAGGAACAACGAGCAATGCTAGAAAATGAAACTCTGCGGAGACAGGCGAGTTATCATTGATACGAACTTAAAAGTATTGAAGATATGAGTTCTTATGATTTTGAACTTACAATTCATTGTAGGTCAGCGAGCTTCGATGTCTGTTTCCTCCAGTCGACTGTCCGCTTCCTGCTTATCTTGAATACTGCTCCCTAGAGAAGAAGAAGGCAGGCATTAGAGTCCCCGATGTCGCCTGCAACTCCGAAATAGAAAGAGGAGATTCCGACACCACCTTGCACTTGGGGTAATAATGGCTTGCTTTTTAACTGAGATATGAAATTCTTATAAACATCGTAAGCATACGAACATCAGTCGAAATTCTCTCTGTTCTTAGCAGGAAACGACACGAACTCTGCGTTCGTGATCTTCCATTGTTCTATATATTATCGCTTATGTTTCTAACCTTACCCTCCCTGTTGGCCAGGCTACCATCACATGTCTATTGCAAGAGAAAGGAGGCTGAAAGAGATACTCATTCAAATGATTCAGGGAGTCAAATGGGCCTACTCTGATACCTCTCATCATTCATTCTGATTAATTAGATATCTGCTTTCTGATTAATTAGGTGACTGCACCGATGCTGGGACGACAAACCGAACCGGAATAATCAGCCCGATCTCCACCTTCAGAAACTGCAAATATTCATTAGGTGACCTCTAAAACCATTGAAACAGAGAGAATTAGAAATCCCCAGTTAGGAGATTAGTCAATGGAAAATGACATTGTTGTACTTGTAGCTAGTTTCATTAGATTTTCGAATACATTTCTTAAGAACTATGCAAGCAAACTCTTTACAGAAGGAATATCAGCAGCTATTCTTTCTGGGTTGTTATTTCTTAGCTCATCTGTAATCTTTGATATCAAATTTGGAATATCAATCTATTCAATGTGTATTGAATCCTGTGTTCTTGCAGTTCTTACACAAGTTTATACATGAAAAAAGTAGAAACAATCCAACCATGGCTCTATTGATATGTTCGTCTCAGGGAATCAAGCAGTTTGGTTCTCTCTTCCAAAACATCAGAGAAGAGAGAATCAACTTCCTTCTTGAAATCATCTGTCTCCTTCTCAAGAACCGCTAATTTCTTCTGCAAATCCTCAGCTCTTTTCCGATCCGCCATGGAAGCAGCTAGAAGCTCAACTGCATCATTCACCTCTTGAACTTCCTTCAACCTCGCGCCAGATTCACAGATTGCTTTATGAACAGTAAAATCCAATCGATCCAAAGCAGAAACCCCTAATTTCCCTGTTGATCTTCTCATCTCCATGAATACTTCAACTTCTCCGCTCAATCCAGAAATTACAAGCCCGCAAACCCATGAACCGATCTGTTTCATAATCGTCAAAGCACGATTAACCACGGATTCTTTCTCTGAATTCTTGACTTCCGCAGAAATCTCCCCGATTTCGCCTTTGATCGAGCTGTTCTTGAAACTGCTTGTTCCTATAGGCTTCAAACGATCGATTGCAGAGGAAGGAGAAGATTCCACTAAGCTTAAAGCATGAGAAAGCCTTAACCGAGCTTGACTCAGATCAGCTATACACGAGCTAATCGAATTCAAAAGCTCAAGTAATCTCAAGGTGTATTGAAAAAACCCCTCCCCTGAAGAAGCCTCGTGTTTGCGAACTGGATAGTCAATTTCTACGATCAACTTGGCAAAAGCTCTGTGTTGAATACGAAGCAGTTGGAAACACCGATTGATCCATGGAAATGAGATGATTTCGGATGTGGATTTGTTCGAATCAAACCCCAAATCGCTCAAGGAAATCGAGATTGCAGAGAGAAATCCCTGAATCGCCGACGATAACGCCGCTTCCGATTCATGATGGCGGTGGTGGTGATGATCTTCCAGTTTGAAGAATAATCTGCCAATTGATGAACAGAAATGAGCATCAAAAGATCAAGAACAGAACTCCGCGATTGAATTGATCAGCGCAGGAAGAACTTTAAAAGGCGATTTGCCGATCAAATCTGGAGGGCTTGTGATTCTGAATCAACGGTCAAATGGGGTTATCTAAATTAGGAATTCACAGAAATTGAGCAACTGGGCCAGCCCAAGTGGGAACGATCTTGCGTGAGCTTGTGAAGCTGTCACGAGGAAGAAAGCATCAACGGGATATGAACAGAGATTTTTCTGCGATCGGAAGCTTACAATGGAAGATCAAACAACGTGTTCAGTTCAAACAAATTAATTAAGAAATTTCACATAAACAAATTAAACGATAAAAGATTCGGTGGATTTAAATGCACTGAATTTCATTAAATTTCACATAATTGATAGTATTAACTAGCAATTAAAATGATCAAAATTATTATTAACAAATTAAACAATTAATTAAGAAGCTAACCATAACAACGACCAACTTTAATAACATAGGTGCTGGATGGATAGGTCCAACTAATTACTTATCCTTTTGAAAAGAGAGGTCTTTTTTTTTTTAATTCGCGAATAAAAGTAGCTTTTGAAAGTGATACTAACTCCATTTTAAACCGACCTTCAATTTTCTTTTAGCTTTACGAACCTCCACTACATCCATAACACGTAACAGCTCAAGCGGTTGTTTGCTTTGGCACGTTACGTATCACCATCAGTCTCATGATTTGTATTTCCCCACCTTTATAAGAATACTTAGTTCCCTTCCCCAACTGATGTGAAATCTCACAATATACTCATTCTGGGGACCAACGTTCTTGCTGGCACATTGCATAGTGTCGGGCTCTCTTTGATGCCATTTGTAACAACTTAAGTCTACCCTTTGTAACAGTTAAGTTCCTTGCTAATAGATATTGTCTGCTTTAACTCATTACATATTGTTATTAGCTTCAAAATTTTAAAAACGTGTAAACTAAGGAGAAATTTTCACACACTGAATACTTAGTTTCTCTCTCCAACCGACGTGGGATCTCACATAACGACACCTAAATATAGATTCGTATTTCTTTGATGATCAAGGACCGAACAAAATGGATATCAAATGAATCATAACGAACTAAGTTTAAAAGAAGCTTATTTTAAATATTCAATCCATTTAATTCTATAAAATGTAAGCAAAATGATATCCTAAAATGTCACATAATCCTTTATATAGTGTGTGTTTTGCCAAAGCTTGAAAATTAAATTTAAATAATTTAATATTTTCCCAAATTGGGCCGGTCCACATACCAACCAAGCCTATTATAGCTATAAGCCCAGCCCAAAGTCAAGCCCAAATCTCTAGCCCACAAACTTGAAATCTGGCAATGGCGAATATTTGAAAGTAATATTTTATAATTTGGCCATTCTAAAATTACTAAAAATATAAAAGAAAAAAAAATAAAAGGTTGGCACGACACGACAGCAATCCACGTCACCTTCGAGATATCTAGGCCACACACGTGTATATTCGATTCGATATGCACCACTAGTTGTTGTACACCTGTCTTGTCACATAATAAACATTTTATTAAATTTAAGAAATTCCAATGCTAAATAAACCAACAATAATGCATTAAAATATATTTTTTAATTGATTTTTATTTACTAAAATTATTAAAAGTGATATTGAGAGAAATAGACTTCTATTTGTATTTTTTCCCCTAAAATAAAATAAAATAAAATAATTTAAGGAGGAACCCACTAGAATGTGGACTAAAATTTATATTTCCACCACAATTTATATTCAAATAAAAATTAGGTATTATCCTATTTTTTAAAAATATGTATTATTTTTTATATTTAAAAATTTAAATATAATAAATAAATAAGACAATAAATTTATCCACAAATAAAATTTTATTTAGACAACAATATAAATAATATTTATAAAGGGGAAAATTGATGACCACAAAATTTGTAGCAATCCAAACAAATGTGTTGTGACCATTTCCACTTCTTATCATCTCCACATTCCATGGATAGAGAGACCCATTTCCAAATCCAAATCAAAATCCGAAGCCTCTGCATGAGGTAGAAGAAGAATCTCCCAGCTTCACTCTCCATCAATGGCGGCCTGCACTTCCACATCTCCTTCTTCCCTAATGCTCACTTACGCTTCTTCTTCTGTTTACCCCCAAGATCTCACTTCCTCCATCGTCTCTTTCAATGGGAAATCCCGATTTTCCACCATCAAATCCTTCTCCTCCTGCCATTTCTTATGTAGGCCAAGGAGATCGGCCGATTGGATTTGTCTTAATTTCCAGAGAAGAGCGAGGCACCATGTGATCGTCGCTGCTCTCGCCGCCGAAGCGAATGTCGCTGAAGCGGAGGCGGAGGCGGAGGAGGGTGTCGCCGTGGGGGGAACGGATACCGTTGCTGCGCCTAAACCAAAGAAGGGGAAAGCCGCGTTGCCTCTTAAAAGAGATAGGGTATGTTTCAAAATCTTGTAAAACTTTGGTTGTTACGATTGGACTGTGGATTGTGTTGTGTTTTTTGGGTTGTTCTTGTAGGGGCTTGTTTTCGAGCTTAAAAATGGAGGTTGTTTTACAATGGTTGTGGAAGATTTTTGAGTGTTTTGATTGGTAGATAGGATGTCAAATGTGAACTTGTTTACATATTTTGTTGTCTTTTCATGTCTGAAATCAACTTGTTGTGTGATATGTCAGAGGAGATCCAAGAGATTCTTGGAGATTCAAAAACTAAGGGAAAACAAAAAAGAGTATGAGATCAAGACAGCAATATCTCTTCTCAAGGAAATGGCTAGCACAAAATTTGTAGAAACAGCAGAAGCCCATTTCCGGCTCAACATTGATCCCAAATACAATGATCAACAGCTAAGAGCAACCGTGAGTTTTTTTTGTTTATAAATCCTGATGTCTTTATTGCTAAGGGAAGTTATGAAGAATATGCTTATCATGAGGTTATTTTGTTTGCATACTTTGTTGTAGGTAAATCTGCCTAAAGGAACAGGGCAAACTGTAAGAGTAGCTGTTCTTACTCAAGGTATATACTTTTAATATTTAAGCAGCCCTCTCTTTAATCGATACACAGTCGTCTATAGTAGCGTTTCTTATGCTATATGTTTGAAATTTCTATCGAAATCCACCCAGTTGAGTCTTTGCTGTGGCTAAGGCTTTGTTTGAGAGTTGTTGGTGAAACTGTTTTATGATTTTTAGAACGAAGCAAGCACAAACATGTTTCAATAACTTTTACGTCGATGACTTGAAGTTCTTATGCATCTTGATTCCTTTTTCTTGAGTGGCTATGTGAGACCTCACATCGGTTGGAGAGGGGAACAAAACATTACTTATAAGGGTGTGGAAACCTCTCCCTAGCAGATACGTTTTAAAACCTTGAGGGGCAGCTCGGAAGGGAAAAGCCAAAGAGGACAATATTTGCTAGCGGTAGGCTTGGGCTGCCAGACACCAGGCGATGTGCTAGTGAGGACGCTGGCCCCCAAGGGGGTGGATTGTGAGATCCCACAACGGAGAACGAAACATTTCTTATAAGAGTGGAAACCTCTTCCTAATTGAGGGAAAGCCTAGAAGGGAAAGCCCAAAGAGGACAATACATACTAGCGGTGGGCTTGGGCTTGGGCTTGGGGGCTGTTACAGGTTATTCCTACAAAAATCTTTACTGTTTAGTGGGCGTGTAAAAAGTTGAAATAAACATACAGGTGAGAAATTCGATGAAGCGAAAAATGCTGGAGCAGATTTGGTTGGTGGGGAGGACTTAATAGAACAGATTAAAGGAGGATTTATGGATTTTGACAAACTGATTGCTTCCCCAGACATGATGCCTAAGGTATTTCTATTGCTCTAACTAGATTGCTTCAATTATTTCTCGAGATTTTTATGTTTCTCACAGCATATAAATTGTTTTCTTAAACAAGTTGCATAACTTTAAACAGTTAAAAGGTGAATTGAAGGTTTACAATTACGCGGATGATCCTAGAAGATAAGAGACATGAACACAAACTTAGCGTAGTAGCTACCCTGGGTTTATAGATCGATTTTTGGTCGTAGATATATTTCCAGATTTTTGCATATCAAAGTTATCTTATAATGACTGAAGCCAAAACTCTAAACCAGATATAGTCTATATATGCAAGGGTATTACCATCGGGTGAATGCCGATACCTGCATTACTATGATGATGTAGTTGAGTTGAGTCTCCTCTTCTCGTTTCAGGTTGCTAGCCTTGGGAAGCTCCTAGGACCACGAGGGCTCATGCCGAATCCAAAAGCCGGCACCGTAGCAACCAATCTGCCTCAGGTATCAATGATTTTTGTTTGGTATCTGCAGTGCATCAATTAGAAAAGAAATACAAGACTTTACTTAATCCATCTAGCAACCTTGATTTCAGGCAATTGCAGAATTCAAGCAGGGGAAAGTTGAATACAGAGCAGATAAAACTGGGATCGTTCACCTACCATTTGGGAAAGCCGACTTCAGCGAAGAAGACCTTCTTGTAAACTTGCTCGCAGCCATAGTATGCTCTTCCCTTCTTATCTCCATAGCTGTTGGTCTCCAAAAATGTGTCTAATTCATGTTATTTTCTTTGAACTCTTGACAGAAATCAGTAGAAACCAATAAACCGACAGGTGCCAAAGGTGTATACTGGAAAAGCGCACACATATGCTCGTCGATGGGACCTTCAATTCGGTTAAATATAAGGGAGATGCTCGACTTCAAGCTTCCCTCAACAGCTTGACAAATAACAAACCTGTAAATTTCTTCTGTTTGTTGAATCAGCCTATGGGGGATCCACTACAATATAATGATGCCCAAATGTGAGCTGCACTGGAATGAAGATGATTGAAGAAACTGGGATGAATAATGAGAAGATATCAGAAAATTATGATCACAGAAACAAGCATACTGCATAGTCTTCTATACTGACTGAATCTCTCTGTATTAATGGTGTTAAGTTCTTATTGATCTTTGATTAACCTCTTGGGTTTTAGGGAAAAAAATGATGAATGTACTGAAATGTAATGACCAGTTGATGACCTTTTATTCTGTTCCTGTTTAGGGATATTCGTCCTTTTTATGAAAACGTGGAATCATTGCTCCTTCTAAGCAATCGTATTCTCAAACTTCTCATTGTGTTATCTCTGGTTTCGAGCATATGCATCTGAAATATTACTTTGAGCAATTGAACTCTAAATGAATCATCTCATTGTTGAAAGCCCAAGGATGATTCAAGAAGACGGACATATTTATAAATATTTTCGAGAATTGCATTAGGCAAACTACGATGGCCTGGTAGTTAATAAGGAACGTTTACAAGCAGACATAGTCGTCTTTGGACTTTTTTTTCCGAGCTTTTCCTCAAAGTTTTAAAACGTGTCAATTAGGGAGAGGTTTCTAAACTCTTATAAGAAATGTTTTGTTTCTTTCCAACTGATACGGGATCTTGCAATCCACTCCCTTAGGGGCCAGCGTCCTTACTGGCACGCCACTTTAATCGATGTGGTTCAATGTCCTCGTTGGCACACCGCCCAATATCTGACTCTAAACCATTTGTAATAGTCTATATGCCCGCCCACCACTAGCCGATATTGTCCTTTTTGAGCTTTTCCTTCGAGATTTTAAAACACGGTCTATATGCCCACTACCAGCTGAGCTTCCCTTCAAGATTTTAAAACATGTCACTTCAAGATTTTAAAACGTGTCACTTCAAGATTTCAAAACGTGTCACTTCAAGATTTCAAAACGTGTCACTTCAAGATTTTAAAATGCATCAACTAAAGGAGAAGTTTCCACACCCTGCCCCTCCACTCTCCAACCGACGTGAGATCTCACAATCCACCTCCTTATAATCAAGCCCGACAAATATTGTTCTCTTTGAGCTTTCCCTTTCGGAATTTTTCTCAAAGTTTTAAAACGTGTCAGCTATGGAGAGGATTCCACACCCTTATATGAAATCTTTCGCTCTCCTCTCCAACCGATATAGGATCTCACATAAATCATTAGCGAGGAGTTCAAGTAATGATAATCTATCACCAATCATACACTAGCCAGTACTATGGAATCGTCGAGACAAAGAAGAACAAAGCCATTAAAGTTCTTAATGACTTTGTATCACCTCCATGGTATACAACACACAACATTGTTTCTTTGACAAACTTCATTTTGTGATTCAACACAACTACAAAAACACATCTTCTGTTCAGCTGTCAACAAGGAGTTCACTTAACAAATGATTAAACCATGAGTATAATAAGCAGTCTTGTTTATACCTCTGAAAATATATACACATTAGCATTTTACTACAATATAATATACACACTGCAATTATCCCTAAAGGAAACTGCAATATTTTCTGCTACTAGAAATTTTTTGACAGAAAACAATGAATTCAGCACTTAAACAGACATTACAGGAAAGAAGAGCAACCAAAACCAAACAAATATATATGGCTCATATGGTAAATTTCATTTAGGGGATTTATGAAGGCAATAATATGCTCTTCCCTGGCATATCTTGACTTTGCATTCCTATTCTGGCCTGTGTAGATTATGGAGGATGTATAAAGAAGCAGATGACAGAAAAATGCAGACCGAATAACTCAGTAGATCAAGACCGGTGGCTATCGTTACCATCTTGCTTCTCTCGAACATTTTTACTAAAAGAATCATCACAATAACATGTCCCACTTTTGTTTTCAACTCATCAAGAGAGCTAATTTTCATCCATTTTGGCCTCTCCTGCAACCAACAACCACCAAAATTACCTTCAAGGCAAACATTCTTGATTTCTTGAAGGATATTCTTGATTTTCTTAAAAATAATGTCTTTAATTTACCTTCAAGGCAAACATTCCAAACAGTGAGGACCCTTTCAGGGCACGATCAACAGGAGGAAGTTCATCAGGAGACACATTGCTGATAAACAAACCGTATAGACCCATCCCAAAGATTAACATGACGGTTCCAGCAAGATACACATCTGCATCGGGTAATAATTCATTATTGTTTACGAACAAAAGAAAAGATTCACAGTATTTATGGCCTGTGGGTTCATTTTTTGCAAGTGACAGCGACAATGAAAACTAAAACAAAAAGGAAAGCAAAAAGTCATGCTTTAAATGCAGTTAGCAGCTCTATACTTCCAGCATAAATAAGAGATATAGTAGGGAGTATCCGAGGATCCTACCGATAGCTTCAACTAGTCGCAGAACCATCTGTCCAGTATGGATACCTTTGACACAGCTTGACCAGTAAACTTTATATGCATCACAAATATAAACGCAGCCCTTCAGACAAACTGAGAGTAGTCAAACTACACGTAAAATTTTGAACAGTACTCAAAAACATAGATTCTTCCAGACAGAAACAGAGTTTATCTTAGATGAAATATTGATCCACATTCACCATAGAAAATGACATTGACATGTTCCGACAGTAAAAATTTCACTCCCATAAGTGCATGTCACATGTTCATGTTGTGTGTACACATGTCTAACCACATTGGAAGGATTACTTATTGAGTACTTTTAATACCTAACATTTTCCAACACTTTGTTTCAGTCACCGACAAAGACGTATGAGACAAGTGATGGGTCGTATATTGATTGAGCCAATGGTCCTTGTTAGCATAAATTTCTACATTATGTCACCTTTAATAGCAAGCCTTGGTGTAATCATGTTGTAGATCCTTTTTAAAAATTGATTTACTTCCTCTTAAAGATTTTTTAAGTGGTTATTTATGAGTTTTCAATGATATCTCCAAAAAGAAAAACTCAAGATTATTAGTAAACAAAGCTATACTATTTATCAATCCTCTTAATATTGGTTTTTCAAAGTTTTTGATCTTTAACTTTAACATGCCAGAAGTAACAACCCTAGACAATTGTTTAAGAAGCCAGTTCATTACAATCTATCTTCAAAATATATCCAAAACATCATGCAAAAGGAATTCAACTACATAGTGAAGCAATTTTTACTTTTGTGTAGCATCCAACGACTTTTATGGTGATTTCTCGGGAAAATTAGATTTAAAGGAGAGCTGGAGAAAGTACATTGAGAAAGCACAAGAGTGAACCAGCCAGTGAACCTCCAACAGCAAGCAGTGCCAAGAAACGGAAGTCAAAAATAACCTGCTTAACATCAGGTGAGACAGGTACAGTCATTAACCCATTAAAGAATTGAAAGATCAGACTTTAAAAAGAATAATAATTACAAAAAACAAATATAATATAAGGAATCAAACTCGAGATTTTAAAAAAATTAAAAATAATATCTGAAATCATCCTAAATGGGTATCTTTTCTGGCACCGGGCCATCCAGCTTCTATAGTGCTTGAAATGTGACAACATAAAATTTTCATATGCATCTACTTCCACGGCCGAACTCTCAATTATTAATCAGTGTACGAGGTCAGTTTCAAAGTGTTTATGTATTTAATTCATAGCCAGAACAAACTTTCAGCTTCAACAGGGGTAGAACATGAAAATCCAATTGAAAAAAAAAAAAAAAAACAACGAGAGAGAGAGAGAGAAGCACGTACCCTCTCAATTGAGGATTCAGCGGATCCCATAAACCTAATAATCGGAAGAAACGCACCACCACCACCACTAGGGTTAGCATACGCGTAACTGAAATTCGAGTCCGCAGCTCTGGAGGGTTCAACCAAGGGCGTTGAAGTTCCATTGGAGGAACTAACGCCATCACTGGGCGACGATGCTTTCGCTGATTTTGATTCGGAAGACGAAGAGCTCAAAGAAGCACGAGGGTAGGAAAAGCGACGACCCACCGTGGTCGGACAATGAAGGCGGTGGAACCCTAAGGAAACGGCCAGTGGAAGCGGGGAGATCGCGGAAAGCGCCATTGGAGTGATGGAGAAAGAGAAATGGGGGGGCAGGATATTTATTTGGAAGCTCAACAAGTGGGGAATGGAGATATTTTGATTGATCTCCATTCACATCTTCGCACTTGAAATCGACGTTTATGTCTGATTATAGAGCCAACTGGTTTTACCGCGAAGAACAGTATCCCCAATAATATTTCTTCTTTATTTTATTTAAAAAATATTTTAAAACTTTCTAATATAACTTTAAAAAAAAAAAAAAAAAAAAAAAAAAAAAAAAAAA